CGCTTAGTTTAGAATGCCACAAAACTTTGTTCTATGTCTAGAACACAGAATATTGTCTGTTTAAGAATGCTTAAACTAACAATTTTTACAGTTCTCATGGGCTCCACCACTGCATCAACACCAAAACCAACAACGAGTACGTCAAAGCATATTAGCGTGTTATTAATCAGTGTCTACATTTGTCATTCGAATCATTAAAAGGCGCGCCATTCTACGTCTGTGCATGTCCATTTAAAACATATGTACACATGATGAAAACCATATATAAATACACTTTACTAAAACGCAGTAATTTGTGCCAAACCGTCGTATTTTCCAACGTTTTTCAAAATAAATTGCAATTATTGACGTCAGTGATTGCACCCTTAATATGATCGACCTTCATTGCTATATCAAAACCGGTCAGTGCAGTTGGATGAACCATTCATTTTAGTTACAAAGGGACCAAACTCATCTTCATGCCCGAATTCGAGGATGCGTGAGTCGATACAGTTTATGCCCTTCCACTGTGTTTGCATAAACACACTTGTCAGGCAGCAACTTCAGGAAATTTTGACTAAGCAGAAGCTTCTATTTAGTTAAGCAAAATAACCTCATCATCTGCAATTGAAATACATTTACATCGACAACCATTCCAGCAGAGACTTGCTCTTTCCTGATATATTACTTTTATTTTACTAATTATGTATTTATTATTATTTACTATCTGTTATTTATTTACTCAATTATTTTATTATTTATATTTTTTAGAACTTGAGTGATGCTTGCCTATGGGCTTTACTGATCTCCATTTTGCAGGCAATGGGATTTATGCAAATAAATTCCGTTTTGGTGACTGTTGAACCTTAAAGCCGGGTCGGCGTGTTAGGCAGCCTGAAAAAATAATGTCCAGATATTGCGTTTTTGGGACTAAGCCCAAACGTTTTCAACAAAATCTGCTCTGCGCGGCAGTGAGCATCGATTAGTTGCCTAGGCTTAAACGCCTGAACTTCGCGAAGTACATTAGATGGTTATAATCAAATGGAAGATTTCTTGCTGCATGTGATGACTGTTCTAATGTATGCATTTAGAACAACAGATTGTGCGTCACAAGATGATCAGCGCACACTTACGCCGGTTTGGGTCAGTAGGTAGCGGTTTCAGAGAAGACACAAGTCTGGTTTTCCCTGCTGTGTGGAGTCAAACAGAATAATCACATGATGCGGTGAAAATTGTGGTTTCTTTGGAGGTTGAGAATGTCTGAATCGAGCGTTATTTTATGGCAAACTCAGGTCTCTTATGACTTTTTATCGTTTTATAAGGCCCTTTCAAAATGGATTGTAAAGATGGAATTGCACTAACGAAGCCAGATAAATGGTGTCTGCATGAAAAAGGGCATTGATGCCACATCTGCCCAACCAGGTGGAAGCTTATGCTTTAGCTACATATACTCTTTATCGTTTAGAAGGTCTATAACGAAAGAGGAACACAAAAAATATCAAATTAAATGGAGTATCTGGCCTATCTCATTAAATGACGGCCGGGATTCTGGAATAGACTTTTGCTTAGAACGAATACCCAGGCGGGCTTGTAATATTGGTAATTGAGCAGCGTAATTTCAAGGTAACTTAGTCTACCCAGAATGCCGGCCTTTGAATGATTTTCATTCCGCCGTCTGCAGAAACTACACTCAATATTAGTGACTTCCTTGGCGGTATGAATACTTCCCGCTAATTTTAATATCCTCGTAAATTTAAGTATATGTTGCTTAAACGCCTTTTACCATGCTCACGTAATGGTAGGTTGTGTTTTGTTTAAATGTCATACTTAAGAAGAGTATGCCTCCAGGTAAGGTAGTTTGCAGTTCAGAGACTTCTAGACTCCCGAAATCTCCATCCAGATGGCTGCTTATGAAGTCGACATCACAATTTACGCCCATTCGGGAATCGGTTGACCCCTTTTGTAATTTCGTAATAAAACACATGACTCTGTAAAAGAAGAGGGAAGTGTCATCACTGGAACAAAACTTTTGTTAGCATGACACTTTGGACTATCACTTGAACCCGTCATCAGAGATGGATCCAGATAAAGATGGTAGAGGCACAAAGATTGAAGTATATATAGGACGTAGCTGTCGTGGGCCACATTCCTAATATAATTAACAGCTCTCGAAACCACTGTGGGGGTCGTAATTAAAGCCATGATGGCTTGTCTGTTCGCGTCCAAGTCGTTAATTGTCGCAATTTCATCATTCGTGTCGGATGTACAAGTTATGATTACTCTAGATTTTGGCCCACTGCAACAGGAATGTCGGGCGTCCGCGTCCGCCCCACGTGACTGACTCCACTGCACAGGGAATGGCTCACCACTGAGTATGGTGCAGGAAGATCGTCTTGCTTGCTGATGGATTGCGCTTCTAAGGACCATTATTCGAGCAGCTCGCGACACACACGGTTGTCAGCTCTTGCGAAGAATTCGGCCTGTTGAAACACGAAATGTTGCCGGGTTCCGGAGAATGAGCTGCTACCTTAGAGCCAGCGTCTTTCCTCCCAACAGCTTCTGCGTGGTCAGTCATGCGCGTTTGGAGTAATCTCCCAGATCCGGCTAACGACTCCAGACGTTATCTGTCGTGGCAGTGGGTCCATTTTACCTCATGACTTGACGCCTGATTGTTGCTTTTGGCCATAACTAAGTTCCAAAAATCCTTTCCGATTTCCGAATAATTCTGAGCCTGACCTACCGATGCCCTTGAAGTTAAGGTTTCGAAACTGCACCTTGTATATTTTCCGTGTACGGAACAGCATCCATTTAGATGAGCTTTTAAAGCAAGGCCGTATGCGGTTTATATTAGCTTACCGTGGGTTTGAACCATATTGCAAACTTTGTAAGCAATATTAGTGAATACAGCGATCGAATGTTTTGTGAACGGGTATTTTACGGTCTAAAACATCGCATAATCAAAAACTCAATTAAAGTCAAATAATAATATGGCATCAAAAATAAAAATCGAAGAGGAGGTCATTTTCTTTGAAATATGTAAAAGACTAAATTTTTGTTTACATGTTTTCTATGAAATTTAGTTGAGGTAATGACGGCATCGAAAATAAATAACAAAAAATTCACATTATTTATGCAGTCATCTTTAACAATGTGTTGGATTTTCAGGCGACCGGAAGAACGTTCTTTTAAAAGTTGGCAATGAAAATATCTTGGGATTACGTTACCTTATTTCTACACTTAGGTGATTCCGGTAGACTTAGGCAACGCTGGGTCAGGTCTCCCAATATTCATATACAACGTTAGTGTAAACAATAACTTCATTTGTAAAGAAGTAATATATAGAGGGGAAACGTAACTCTTAGTGTAGGACGCTGTCTCACAAACAGCGACAGAGTAGAAGAATCAAAGACAGAGTGGCAATGGTAAATTCTTATAAAAAATTCGAGCGGCGGAAAGCCCTCTCTAGTATCCGGTTGTGACAGCTCGAATAATGCCCTGGGTAAAGCCTAAAAGTTCCAAGCAGAAGTCGGTTAGTAGAACTTGGTGTTCAGATTAATTCACGGTCGGTGTGTTGTGATCAAAAAATGACTGTCTCAGGTGGCCTATGAGGTTTGAGGCCCTGAGCGTAATGGATGACGCAATACGTGCAGGAAGCATGCGGACGCAAAACACGCTTTATCGCGCGCTGAAACAGGCTACTGTGGACATTTTAGTATACTTAAACAAAAGAGCGGAAAAATTCAGGTGAACAGGAAAGTTTAAGGTTTAAACTTCAGACAATTTTGCGCGTCATCGGAACGCACAAACGTTCCTATAATTCCAAATATATTTCATAGCAAATATGCATGAAATTATGCAGTCATTTACTCATCCGATATAAAATTACATCGTCAACTTTTTACTGGACTCAAGGACAGTGTTGTGTTTTAAAACCCTTCCGACTCTCGAATAACTTTGAATCCAACCTGGCGTTTTCCTTGAATTCGGGATTTTCCAAAATACAAGCTATATATTTTCCCTGCATGGGAGTATCAGTATCAGTATATTTCAGGGAAAGCAGGTGTGTACCTTTGAAATCCCTATTGGTTACATGCAGAGGATATATATGAAGGAAATTGAAAGGAAGTAACATGAAATAAATGCGAGGGGAATAGCAAAAACTGTACAGATGAACACAGAATGTCATGCGTTACCAGAGTTGAGAGGCACATTAACTTGCTTTGTTGATCAAATACAGCGGACAGTTGAGGCACACTTAAGATACGGGAAAATAAGTAAAATTGTTTAGCCTACAGGCATCGAGGTGAATGCGAACAGTGGTGTGCGACGTGATCCAAGCTTAATAAATTACATAAACATATATTACTTAAATGTTGGTAGTAGCATCGATATAGCACTATATTGTAAACGCTGGCTGTCAAGGTGGCCGTAGTCCGGCGTTATTGTGGTGCGCGCTACAATGCTGATCTAGTCTCCATTTAAAAGTATCTACCGAGACGGACATAACAACATCCCCAGGCAAGGCATTCCAAGCTGCAATCACTCTGCCGGAGAAGAAGAACTTTCGGGTGTCTTGCCGGGCACCAGCCACACACAGTTTGAGTGAATGGCCTCTCAGGTTAGTCGGAGTCGCCAACTCAAAGAAGTCTCCAAACGCGAGGCAGCAGCCCTGATTGCGCACGATCCGGAAAGGTTGTATCAGGTCCTCACGTAGTTGTCTGTAACTCAAAGGAAAGAGGTCAAGATTCGGTAATCGCGTTTCGTAGGGTAGTGACCACTGTCCGGATACAAGTTTCGTTGCTCGCCGTTGAACTTTTTCGAGTATGCCCAAGTCTTTAGCGGTCCAGGGTCGCCATGCTTGGATAGCAAACTCCAGATGCGGTCGCAAAAAAAGTTTGAAAGACCTTGGCGAAGCAGTTTTCATCAAAGGAGGAGAATGCCCGTTTGACAAGTTATAGCATGGAAATCGCCGACTTGGCCAACTTTGAACATTGCAGTGAAGGCTTCAGCGAGGTTGTGATTCATACACCCAAGTCCTTCTGGGCGTCGACTACTTGCAGTGGTGTGCCAGTCAGACGGTAGACCGTGTGGTTAGGAGAACTGGTTCTGCCGACGCGTAGGAAGTCACACTTGTTTACGTTGAACGGTAGAAGCCAGTCTTTCGACCATTGCTCGAGGTGGTCCAGATTTGTCTGCAGTCGCGCCTCGTCAACTTCGCTTCCTATGGTACTCCAGATATTTATGTCATCGGCAAGCATTACGACATCGCAATTCAGTTCGTTTGCGCAGTCATTGACGTATACGAGGAATAGTGTAGGGCCAATAACAGAGCCTTCGGGAACAGCACTCTTAACGGCAACCGCGGCAGATTGTTGGTCACCGACGTGGACGGCTTGAGAGTGGCCGATCAAAAAGGTCCGAATCCACATCAGAAGCTTACCTCGCACTCCTGCACGGCTAAGTTTGTATAGAAGGCGGTGGTGAGGCACACTATCGAAGCCCTTTTTAATGTCGATATAGATGGCATGCACCATATCTCCTCTACCAACAGCCCTAGTCCAGTGTTCCAGACAGTAGAGCAGGTTTGTCACACAGGATCTGCTTTTTTGGAATCCATACTGAGAATCGGAAAGCAAATGGTTTTGTTCAAGGAACTGCATTAGTTGTTGCTTTATTATCTTCTCCATGATCTTACAGCAAATGGAGGTGAGGCTGACCGGTCTGTAATTGTTCGCAGAGACCCGAATTCCGCCCTTGTACAGCGGCGTAATCCACGCCGACTTCCAGTCGGGTGGCAGATATCCGGTCTCGAAGGATGTATGGAAAAGCATGGAGAGTGGCTTAGACAACTCACCGGCGAGTTCCTTCAAAATCTTCGCCGGAATCTCATCGGGACCTGGTGATTTAGATTCTTTTAGCCTCAGCAACTCCGTCAGAACCATACCCTCAGTGAACTGGACGGTCTCTATAATTGGGGTGTCTTCGAAGGATTGAGGGGCCGAAGGGTTGAATCCTGTTTCGCTACTAAAAACAGACCGAAAAAATGCTGAAAGATGATCAGCTTTCGCCCTGTCGTCAGTGAGATGTTCGCCTTCAGCAGTCCTTAGCAGGGGTATTGGGTCCTTGTTCCGCGTGCACTGCCTAATATAACCGTAGAATAATTTAGGGTTCTCCGCGGCTTGGTTAAGCAGATCCCGTTCGAATTCCTTTCTAGTTTTGAGGATAAGACCGTTGACTCGATTTCTTTGAATTTTGTACGCGCATATAGATGTGGTGCTCCTGTCAGAAAGCGATTATTTCCACAGCCGTCGTTTTTTATTCACTTCATTCTTCAAGGCTTGCGTAAGCCATCGAGGTCTGTTAGTTAACCTCTTCCGTGAAAGCGGACATACATTTCTAAACTCTGTAAAAGGGAGACCATATGGTGTTCATGAAATGTGGCAGTGGATTTTAAACATACTGTAAACTTTACTAGCAAAATAAGCAAATGCAGGACACGATGTTTTATGAAGGCGCATTTCGCGGCATAAAAGACTTCAGAACTAACCACCTTTTGGAACAATATTATATAATTTCTTTATGTAGAACATTTAAAGATGTAACTTTTCACTGAACTAGTAAATGAATGAATACTTTGATCCATTTTTTCCTGAAATATAATTTGATTTTTAAGGGCATTAAAAATCGCTGAGAAAAAGGCGTGCTATATAAACAGTCATTTTTACAGAGTGTGGTTTATGCATGCCGCTGTAAAGGTGTTTGTTCGAAGGCCGGCATTCTGTAGTAATTGACCTACTATAGGATTACGGTGCACGTTGATTAATCTAAGAACCTCATCTAAATGATCTTTTCTAATCGGAAACGTATACCAAATTCCCAGATAACATTTCATGAGTTGGCACACCGAATGTTTAGAAACTGTCATAGCAAGTAAACTTATGAGCGGACGGTAATTAATTTGAGGTTAAGTCTCAATAGCCACTGTATTACCAATACTCGGATATTTTGGTATGAGTCAACATGTACAGTAGGTCCACCGAATGCCAAAAACATACATAAATAAACGTTGATTTAAATCGAGAAGCAACACTGTGTGCCTGCAAATATAAACTGTGTCTTCCTCTACAGCAGGCTAGGACAAACTCTGTGCCAGTGGAATAATAGACTTTTATCAAACGAAAGTGGACTGTATGAACCAAAAACAGCTATCTAGTAAGACCACTGGGAAAGTATGGTCAGCATGTGAAGATCCGAACACTTGAATTTATGTAGGGAGTAAATTAATCCCCCTTAAGTAAAATCACAATTGAAGAAATCTACTGACGCTTGGATTTCCTTCAGCTATTAATGGTGCGCTTACATGCAAGCCGCAGATATGCATGAAAATCAGATTTATGATATGACGAATGTGATGAGAATCTGGATTTTTAGGATAACGCAAAAGCCACTTCTACAAATTGCTTTGATGTGTTCATTCCACTACCATTATCTGTTTCATACTTTAATTCAGGCCGGATGGATTGAAGAAGGCGGGTTTCATGAGGTGCGTGGAACGCCGGGAATGCGGAAAGTGACATCTAAGTTATTTCCCTGCAAACACATAAATGGTTTGATTATTTGTTCGTTTCAGGGTAGTTTCACTGCAGATAAATGCATATAAAAATGCAGGTAGTTATTTCGTGATGAATGAATAAACAATATAGAGTTCGGTTTTTGACATGATTTCCTCATGTTTTTAAAAGTTCACAAATCAAAAAGTTGTAAAACCTGTTGGCCATTACAATAGCATTAACCAGTATCATGAAATGTCTGCCTAAATTCGGAAATGCGTCATGTATTAGGAAGAGATACTTAAATGTACGGAACAATTTCAGAATATGTTAACTATGACAAGATGTTGACTTTTGAATGAGCTCCTCTCCACCTGCTAGAAAAAATCTTCGTTGGTGGAAAAATGATGGTTACAGTTGTGCGTATTTTTCGTTGACCGCAAGTGCATCATAAATTCTAATTTTTTTCGTAGTTTTTTTTAGATAACCACATCTTTTGCTACAGCCTTACTCACAAAATGGCTATATTAAGCTTATATAAATCTTTTTTAATTTTCAATCAATTATGGGCCCAAATTGGGCTGCATTTGTACAATTGTGTCTCACAGAAGTATGCAACTACCCAGAACTATGTTGTGTACTTCAATAAAAACATTGGTAAACAAACATATATCTTTCGATCCTAAAACTCTCATAATCACAAACGATATAACCGGGTTCTTCAAGTACGAACTTTGGAAAACACAGCTTGCAGTCAGTAGCGAGGATAAACTGTCACTGGTATATGGCCACATAGAACAAGAATAAAACAGTTTAGCTTAAGGGAAGCAAGTATCATCAGCTAAGCCATTGGCACGATGTCCAGCCTGGTGCCTGAAAAATTGGTTTTAAGTAGGCTAGCACAGTCAGACACCCAGCACACTGATGATGGGACGAGGAGGGTTCCGAAACGTAAGAACCAATACAGTGTGGTACATGAAATCGCTTTTTTCTTCGTCGACTTTTGGGGCTAATGAACGGGAAAATTTTTCCGGACATCGAACACACAGACATGATGACATAATTAAATATATTGCCAATTGAAGCAAAATGCTCACCCCGGGGATAAATGAAAAGAAGAGGCGGTCACGGCAACCATGCGTTTACTAGAGTGACGTTTCGAAATCAGACAAGCTTCCATCCTCAGAGGTAGGTTCTTTACGTCGCCTTACGGTATTTATGGGTGCTAAGCAGGCGGACATACTGTTGTTCCTACTGCTATCCGCGCAGGGTGCACTGAAGGGGAGGGGGGGGGAGGATTAAATCGCTGTCATGCTGGTCGACGTCATTCCCACTCCCCTCGTCGTGGAGCGGTGTTGGGGTGGCAGCGGGCTGCGGTGGTCACGGACAGACGCAAACGGAACACGAATACGAGATATGCGCGTCACGCACAACAAATGCGGACAATGCAGACGAGGTCAGTGACCACTGCCATCCCAACACCGCTCCCCCACGAGGGGAGGAGAAAAGACGTCGACCAGCACGATAGCGATTAAATCTTCCTCCTCATCCTCCTCCTCCTCCTCCTCCTCCTTCTCCTCCTCCTCCCCGCCGCCGCCCCGCCTGCAGTCCATCCTGGACGGATAGCAGTAGGAATGACAGCATGTCCGCCTGCTTTACACTCATAAATACCGTAAGGCGACGTAAAGAACCTATCTCTGAGGATGGAAGCTTGTCTGATTTTGAATCGTCAGGCTAGTAAACGCATGGTTGCCGTGACCGCCTCTTCTTTTCATTTATCCCCGGGGTGCGCATTTTGCTTTAATTCGCAATATATTTAATTATGTCATCATGTCTGAGTGTTCGATGCCCGGATAAATCTTTCCGTTCATTAACTCCAAAAGGTCAACAAAGAAGAAAAATCGGCGATTTCATGTACCACACTGTAGTGGTTCTTTCGTTTCGGAACACTCCTCGTTTACATCATCAGTTTGCTGGGTGTCTGTTCCTATTACCCTAATTAAAACCCATTTTTCGAGCACTAGGCTGGCCATCTTGCTAATAGCTTAGCTGATGACACTTGTTTCCAAAGGCAAAACTGCTTTATTCTTCGCCTACGTGGCCATATACAAATGACCGTCGATCCTCGCGACTGACTGCAAGCTGGCACTCATGCAGTCTTATGCAGAGGCGTTTGCCCGTTTCACCAGCATGCCTCGTACTGCAATTTTGTCAAAGTATGCTGTAGACCACGGCTGATTGTTCCGTTAGCGGTAGCGAACCCTTAGATCTCATTATCTGCTGCGTATTAGTGGATTCCAGTTTATGAGCCGCCTCAATCTTAATGCAGTTTAGGATTATAGCTGTCGCCTCAGGAACATTCCTCACGTAGGGGATCGCGAGAAAAAACTGAAGCTTCTCACCGTTAGATCCCTCACGGGCAGGCTTTCGTCGGCACACACGTAAGAGAGATGGTGAGTAACCATTGGCTGCGATTAAAGAATGTAGGCATTTTACTTCCTCTTTTCTTCCATCGTCGTCACTGCAATGTGTTTGAACTCCTTGAAGATAGTCCTGACAAAATTGCGCTTGTGACCAGTAGGTTGGTTACTTCGGAATTGGAGGATGCGTCTAGTATTCGTCGCCTTACGGTATACCGTAATTCGTATCCTCTCACCAGCCGTCCTTGCAACATTTACTTCGACGAAGGGCGACTGGCTGTTGTTTTCCTCTTTCACTGTAAATTGGATGTCGTGGAATATTGGGTTCAATAAAACCTTGAAGAAATCAACGTCGTTCCTCCCCCCTAAAACAGCTTTATAGAACGCAGCGGACTGTCCAGATCAAACAAAGTGCTGATGGCAAATCAACCAAACGTCTGGCGAACGCCGCCGCATATTGCTAACGTTTCCGATTCCGTGGCGCGTATCTTTTAACCATTTGGCATAGACATCGCCCACAAGCCCAAAGCCACAATTAGACGTCTGGCGAAGAGACCGATAATATCTTTACCATGAGGCAAAACGACCAACGTCGTCCATAGGATGCAGTACAGTTCCTGCGAAACGAGCTACGTTGGATTGACCGGGAAAAAAATGTCAGACCCGAATGTGCGAACGCGTAAGGGTGGTACGAAGAATGGATCAGCTCTCGCTGGTGGCGGGAGATTTCGTAGCTTCTGAAAATGCCTTCACTTTTCAAGACGCCGAAATCTTGGGCCAAGAAAGCGATCAAACGGTCAGGAAGACGCTCGAAGCCTGGCACGCTACAAATATCTCCATTAACCGCTGCTCAAATTTACCGGCCACCTACCAAGCTACACGAGTGAAGTTTAATAAGCAGGACTACGAGCGAGAAGCCAGGCCGGAGATGGCGGTATTCAATGTCCGGCCAAGCGAAATTACGGACGAATACAGGGACAACCGCCGGCGAATCAAACCCAGGAGACCGCCTACTGGGTCTGAACGTGCACCCGACGAGAACGAACGACAATGACAGGGATCTGCAGTCTCATGTCAATACTAGCGTGACAACCAGCCTTCCTACGGTTACGGGCAGGTGTGAGCGGGGCAGGAAGGCGAGATGCGCGGAGGGCGGACAACGGAGAATGCAAACCAGAGCAATAGCCGCGAACTTTGTACCGTCAAAGTCTGGCATGGTCTTATCGCATCATATCGCTAATCAGCATACCACAAGTGCGTTTAGGTTTTCTACGATTCATCTCCGTTCATCATTCTTCTAGGTCTTGCCTTCATTGCTTTTTGGTAGCATTTCTTGCTACGTTTAACCTTCTCCTACCACTGAGCTGGCGCCTGCGTTTGTTTAATTGGCTGTGTTGGTCCAGAGCACAGTAGCATGTGTGTTATTCGGCTTTAGTATCTAGTTTTCTTGGCTCAGCAGTAATTGTTGTCTTTGTGTCGCGAACGGTTTTCCTATCGTCTGATCGGTCGTAGTATCCTTCGCCCTTACGTTTACTAGTCTCACGTATTTTTCTCCTTCTTTTAGACCATGCTTGACTTCGGCCGTAAGAATTGATTACCATTTCCCACGGCTGTACTCAGTGCGGACATAGCCACAAGCTGGCGGAAGACTTTGTTCGGGATACTCTTGGACGGAGTAAATCTCCGCCATTTGCGACCGGAATGGTTCCCAATATTGCGTCGGGTCGGCTCTGTTCAGGACAAACCACAGACAATATTGCACTTCGTCTAAATGTGTCCATATGCTTCGACCTGATACCGGTCCACCTGCATGCATCTCCATTTTCAGTCCGCCACAGTACACCTCAAAGACATTTATATGTCTTTCCGTGGATGGGCCATTAAAACTGGTTTAACCGTTGACTGTAAATACTTCGTATGCTTCAGATGGCAGGCATCTATTGGTTTTCAATTTGTCGGCTACGATAACAACGCATTTGACCAGGCACATTGTTAGTACCGCCTTTAGCGCTGGCCAGCTTCTGTTATTTACCTGTTTATAAAGGCTTATGCTTTAGTTGGTATCGTACATACCAGCAATCCAAAACCGCCTTTCTTGTCTGCCCAAATTGTACTTACAACGGCTTATTAACATTTCATCGATTTGTGCCTCAATTCCCAGTTTGCTGACCGGTTTCCTTTGCCTGATGAGGGCTGTCGAACATACATTACGACGTGTTGTCTACCACTCGACTGCTGTCGTATGGCGTATCCCAACATTCTCCCGAATATTTTTTAACTTTTCTTCCTCTCATAGATTTCACATATATCTTCATAATATTTTCCGATTTTAGGTGGCTATTCTCAAATATCGAGCCAGTTTTGGGGACCTGTCTTCTTTGACACGGCCAAACAGCCAAAAATGATCAACCTTTTGCACTCTCAGACCTTGATGCCTCATTAGCCTTCCGAATATGCAAGCTAGTGCAGTCGAAGGTAGTCTTCTTGCCCGGGAATACTCGATCATCTTGCCTGAGTTTGACGCTTTCTTTATTTCTTTCGCTGTTGTTGTCAAGTAAAACTGCGGTTGTGTTGACTGGTAACGATTGTCTGCAGTTTAGAAGGAAGAAGGGTGTACAATGATTATTATCACCCTTGTACGAATTTCTTTGGTTTCTATAGTCATTTTAGAACTGCACTTGCATTTTGTTCACTCTCAAATTAAACTATTTACTTTAGTTTTTATTCGCATCCACAAATGTTCACATAATTGCCATACTTGACATCTGTCCTGCACATCGGGCTTTATTTGTATACCTTCCTTTATATTACTTTGCATCGCGCTAAGTGGTAAGTAATCCGCAGTCCGCCACTTACCGCACACTGCCCGTACCTCAATCTCATTGGCTGCTGGCAGCCTTGGAACCTGTCAGTGGCGGTTTATTCAATTGCTTTCCATTTGCTCATTGTTGCTTGTTGAGAATTTTTGAAAATTTGTCCGCCCATTTTCAGATTATTTTATATGCGCACGAATAATCTTATGAGGAAAGTGTACCTGTTTTTGTATTCTACTTATTAATTTTAACCACTCTCTAGAGTTTATGCTCTTTTGCTGAAAACCCCTTCTACCACCTCAACAACAACTAACGTACATTCATTCCCCTTACTGTGTGTGCGTCAAGCGTCTTTACAAAATACCAGTAAGGAAAAACGCAGGATTTGTATTCGTGGGGTAGACATTTGACTGACTTTGATCTTACGTGGACGTATGAAGGTTATGTCAACCCAGGTAACCCATCAAATTTCCATCTGTTTTTCAAAGAATGGACTTTGCTTGCTTCTGGGCATCTGCCTGAAATTAATAGCCTGCCTCAACGGTATACTGGAGCGGCCATAGCCGCCGAACACAAGTCCCATATTTTCCCCAGAGGGATATGCCCTGTTAGACGCATCACAGGGCAGCTTGGCTGGAGCGTAGCATGAAACTAAACTCAGGTGTTGATTTACACAGCCCACCCCAGACTGTTAGGGCTGTGTAGCTGAACACAATTCAGCTGCTCCGCGTGCTGCGTCATCGTGCAACTCTCTGCGGTGGCGAGTAGGTGGAGTTTTCTGGGGTCGCCGACAACACTGTCTGTCCCACAGTCTGCACTGTGTAGTCGCGTATTTCGGGGTCATGCATGCGAGTCAGCCTGGATGGCGGCGGGCAAGCTGGCTGGATGGAGACCCGAGGACGTCATCAGTAATTGAGTCGGTAATGATAGAGTGTTGGACCGCCAAATAGATGTCGACTCCGAAAATATAATCCAGAATTCGGTGTGACTTATTACTCACCATTCTCATTGTGCGAATTTTTCTTCCCTTCCTGAAAAATGTGACCTAACCAGTGGCACTTTATTCAGTGTCCGTTAATTTTTAAAAATCGGTTCTCTTTTATTTTTTACTTATTGCGTTCATCGTTTGTTAGTTGACAGCGTACGATAAGACTTTCTGAAGAAATTTATCTATTTCCTGTTTTCATGCTTTCCGTCCTGTGGGTTCTTCCACCCCTAAAACCCCCTATCACCATTTAACGTATGGCACGGTTCACAGGCTAGCTCAGGTTAGTTGGCGGTTGTCCCTGTATTTGTCCGTAATTTCGCTTGACCTGACTTTGAATACCGCCATCTCCGGCCTGGCTTTTCGCTCGTAGTCCTGTTTATTAAACTTCACTCGTGTAGCTTGGTAGGTGGCCGGTAAATTTGGTTACCCGACAATGCACCCTTCCCCCCGAGTTTACTGTCGGTTGGACGTATTCATCCACATCTTTCGTTCGTTGTTCCACTCGTGTAGAATCGTCTGACCGACGCATATTCGTGCCACCTAATCAGGATTTAAAAATAACGTTACATTTGCTAATTGATTTCCTTTTCATCGTTTGGCCCTCATAATTTGGGTAGTAGAAACAGGAAAACGAACTTCCGTTCCAGTAACCTTTTATGTCTAGATCACTTTGGTAAATCTGTGATACTATACCCGCCTTATAGTATAAAGCATCGCCTATTTCATAAAATGGACTACCCTGCAAGCCAAAACGACCATAATTTCGCAACGTTTGTTTTCTGGTAGCATCTCTGAAGAAGGAATTCGCCAGTGATATGAGTCTGCTTTTCCAAAATGCCCTTCACATTCCCTACCTCGTTTTAGTACGGTTGATTTGTAAAGTACGATTTTCAGATAGCAGGATGGCATGGAATTGTTGTCGACCGCATTTTGATATAAGAGCGAAAAACGACACCATCACTATGCCCAATTACTTAGCGCATTTTGATCCATTGTCAGAAAGCCTAACACTCGTCGTGGTCAACGCATGTCTTCGGTCAGCAATGTTCAACTTCACACGTCTGCAGTTTTTACCGGAACTGTAGAAAACGGAAATCGCATAATCCATTTTCAACACGGACGTTTGCGAGCCCGGCAGTCCCCTTCGCAATCTGATATCAGAAGTTGGGTTTTTTGAGAAATTGCAGCAACTACGAATGTCGCAAAGTGGAGTGACATTGATCAGGAAAGGGAGGGGGAACGTTCACAGGGAGAGGATGATTTACGATATGACGTTTTAAGTAATGAGTTCGGCTACAAATGCTTAGAGCTTGCGAGCCATGGGAAGGGCCCTCAATATGAGGAACATTTCGCTTGATAAGAAGTCTTCGTCTGACTTCAGCCGTTCGAAATACCCGGCGTGGATTGAAAACCACCACCCCACACTCCGATTTGAAGTCCAACCGTCCGGCGTCCAACTGACACTCATGCAACCGCAACCTTTCCTTACTGAGTGGAGGGGAACTATGCGGATGTTCACCCACGTCGATTTGCGCCCTGTGTCCATGGTCACCTGGGATGGATGATCTCGTCCTCTCACCGCCAAATGACGTTCGTATATAAGCGTTAGGAGAGATTTTCAACTTTCGCCAAAATAGGCATCTTCACAAGTCGCCATGCATACTCTTGAAACTGGGCACAAATTCGCTCGAGAAATAACCCACATTGTCTCTTCATGCACACATACGAATGGCCGAGAATTCCTAGAGGCCATTCACTCTGATGATTGATGCATCAATCGACGCATCGATCTTGACGCCATGTACCTAAATCTCAAGGAAAAATGGAAAAGGTAATAGCCAATCAAGACGTGACATCAGCAATCAGCATTGACCCATCCTCAGCCATGACATTGCAATATCGATTTTTTGGGCATGTTTAAATTTTGACTGTTTCTTTACAATTACTACAAGTCTGAAGACGAGCTGGGAAGCCAGACTCGAAAATTTGCGAAACAAAGTTTGTTCATTTTCCCAAAAGACTCATTCTTCTTCGAATATGCATATATCAGAAGGTAAAGTGATCAAAGAAACCATAGTCTTATTGGTTAAACTTTCCGAAAGCAAATAAGCTTTTATTATCGGAGGTGGTTTGCGTATTACACGTCACATTATTAAAGGGTTTTTCTTTAAGCTGGCGTTAAGTGACTTCCAGCGCGATGCATCACGGGGTTGGCGATTGTTGTCTTGGCGACATCGACTCCTCCTCATCATTTGCCGGGTGTGGGGAGAGGGCCAGCATCGGGGTGACCGCGGCTATTGCTCTGGTTTGCATTCTCCGTTGTCCGCCCTCCGCGCATCTCGCCCTCCTGCCCCGCTCACATCTGCCCGTAACCGTAGGAAGGCTGGTTGTCACGCTAGTATTGACATGAGACTGCAGGTCCCTGTCATTGTCGTTTGTTCTCGTCGGGTGCGTGTTCAGACCCAGTAGGCGGTCTCCTGGGTTTGATTCGCCGGCGGTTGTCCCTGTATTCGTCCGTAATTTCGCTTGGCCTGACTTTGACTACCGCCATCTCCGGCCTGGCTTCTCGCTCGTAGTCCTGCTTATTAAACTTCACTCGTGTAGCTTGGTAGGTGGCCGGTAAATTTGAGCAGCGGTTAATGGAGATATTTGTAGCGTGCCAGGCTTCGAGCGTCTTCCTGACCGTTTGATCGCTTTCTTGGCCCAAGATTTCGGCGTCTTGAAAAGTGAAGGCATTTTCAGAAGCTACGAAATCTCCCGCCACCAGCGAGAGCTGATCCATTCTTCGTACCACCCTTACGCGTTCGCACATTCGGGTCTGACATTTTTTTCCCGGTCAATCCAACGTAGCTCGTTTCGCAGGAACTGTACTGCATCCTATGGACGACGTTGGTCGTTTTGCCTCATGGTAAAGATATTATCGGTCTCTTCGCCAGACGTCTAATTGTGGCTTTGGGCTTGTGGGCGATGTCTATGCCAAATGGTTAAAAGATACGCGCCACGGAATCGGAAACGTTAGCAATATGCGGCGGCGTTCGCCAGACGTTTGGTTGATTTGCCATCAGCTCTTTGTTCGATCTGGACAGTCCGCTGTGTTCTATAAAGCTGTTGTAGGGGGGAGGAACGACGTTGATGACTTCAAGGTCTTATTGAACCCAATATTCCCCGACATCCAATTTACAGTGAAAGAGGAAAACAACAACCACTTGCCCTTCGTCGAAGTAAATGTTGCAAGGACGGCTGGTGAGAGGATACGAATTACGGTATACCGTAAAACGACGAATACTAGACGCATCCTCCAATTCCGAAGTAACCACCCTACTGGTCACAAGCGCAGTTTGTCAGGACTGTCTTCAAGGAATTCAAACACATTGCAGTGACGACGATGGAAGAAAAGAGGAAGTAAAATGCCTGCATTCTTTAATCGCAGCCAATGGTTACTCACCATCTCTCTTACGTGTGTGCCGAAGAAAGCCTGCCCGTGAGGAATCTAACGGTGAGAAGCTTCAGTTTTGTCTCGCGATCCCCAACGTGAGGAATGTTCCTGAGGCGACAGCTAGAATCCTGAACTTCATTAAGATTGAGGTGGCCCATAAACTGGAATCCACTAATACACAGCAGATAATGAGACCTAAGGGCTCGCTACCGCTAACGGAACAATCAGTCGTGGTCTACAGCATACCTTGACAAAATTGCAGTACGAGGTATGTTGGTGAAACGGGCAAACGCCTCTGCATAAGACTGCATGAGCGCCAGCTTGCAGTCAGTCGCGTGGATCGACGGTCATTTGTATATGGCTACATAGACGAAGAATAAAACAGTTTTGCCTTTGGGAAACAAGTGTCATCAGCTAAACTATTGGCAAGATGGCCAGCCTAGTGCTCGAAAAATGGGTTTTAATTAGGGTAACAGGAATAGACACCCAGCACACTGATGATGGAAACGAGGAGTGTTCCGAAACGAAAGAACCACTACAGTGTGGCCCATGAAATCGCCGACATGATGACATAATTAAATATATTGCCAATTAAAGCAATAGGCGCACCCCGGGATAAATGAAAAGAAGAGGCGGTCACGGCAACCATGCGTTTTCTAGCCTGACGTTTTAAAATCAGACAAGCTTCCATCCTCAGAGATAGGTTCTTTACGTCGCCTTACGTTATTTGTAGGTGCTAAGCAGGCGGGCATGCTGTCATTCCTACTGCTATCCGTCCAGGATGGACTGCGGGCGGGGCGGCGGCGGGGAGGAGGAGGATGAGGAGGAGGAGGAGGGGGAGGAGGAGAAGGAGGATTTAATCGCTGTCCTGCTGGTCGACTTCTTTCCTCCTCCCTTCGTGGGGGAGCGGTGTTGGGATGGCAGTGGTCACTGACCTCGTCTGCATTGTCCGCATTTGTTGTGCGTGACGCGCATATCTCGTATTCGTGTTACGTTTGCGTCTGCTCGTGTATGACCACTCGGTGTTTGCTGAGCCATTGCGGGCGTCTCCTTTCCCGTCCGGCTTGCGCTCCCCGTCATCGGTGTTTGGACGTGAACTTTGTTCACTAGCGTCCGTGTTCCTGACTTCTTGCCTTCTATTCCGTTGATTGAGGCGCACTCGTAAGGCCTGGTAAGCTGCCGGCAGAATCGTGCAGCGGTTGATGAAATTTGGTACGGTGTGCCAGTTTTCGAGCGCTTCCCTGGCTGTCTGGTCTTTACCTCGGCTTAGGATTTTGGTGTTCACTCTATCTTTATAGGGAGTTTGTACGTCGACTAGGGTTGGCCATTTCGATAAGAAAGACGTCGTCTATGAGATTCCCCGTGGCGCATACAGGAAGATATATTGTGGTCAACCCGAAAATCGGCCAATATGCGCCTTATCTGAAGTCGCATACATTTGTTAGAATCCATGAACAAATTTGCTTGGGGTAAAACAGGCATTATCCGTCCCCGTTGCGTAGAAAATTCCGAGAATTTCTGGTGACAACTCATTCTGATGCTTCATGCATTAATCGTCGCATCGATCTGGATGCCGTGTACACAAATCTCAAGTAATAAGGGAAAAGGTTTATAGACAATCAAACGCGTGTTAACCCAACGCATTGTCCGATTCGCAGCGCTGACAAATCAATATCGAATTACAGAAGCACGTTCAAAGTTTTATTGTTTTCAACGTTTGTTAGCAGTCCGACGATGACCAGAAGGACCTGCGTCGAACATATACGAAATAAATGTTTGATCACTTTGATAAAGGACTCATTTCTCCCATAATTATACTTGTAAGACTGCCAATCTTCCAGTACACACGTATGTATATACAAAAAGGTACGGTAATGAGACGCTTTCCGATCGTGTTACGGAATTTACTAGTCCCATTGTGCATCGTGCCTCATTCTCGAACCAACCAGCGGTCGCACCGTGGCTTGTACTATAGACAGAATCACATGACCGACAAAGACGAGAAAGATTGAAACGGCCGTTTCTGGCTTATTAGTCGTTGTCAGTCAGCCATAACCAACCTTGGGGTGTGCAATGACAGAGTTGTGGCGCCACGGATAGGTCACTCAGGATTTCAAGGGCGCTACAATCGTTCATCGCTGTGTCAACTACAGAGGAATCTCGCTGATCAACATCACCGGAATGATATTTGCTCACTTTCTCCACAACCGCCTCAACAGCCGTCTGGAGCAGAGACCTCTGTCGCAAAGCCAGTGCGGTTTAGGCCGTCATCGCAGCACCACTTACAGGACCTTCACCGCCCGCCAACTGCAGTAAAATAGGCAGGAGATGCGGGTACACCTCTGCTCTACCTTCGTGGATCTGACAAAAGCCATCGACACGGTGAGTCGCGAAGAACTGTTGAAAAACATGCAGAAATTCGGCTGTCCCAAACGACGCAATTAGATGGTGCGTCACCTCCACGATGGCATGATAGCGCGCGTCATGGACAACTGAGCCGTCTCAGAAGAATTCGCAGTAACCAACGGAGTGAAGCAGGATGGTGCCCTCACGCCTACCCTCTACATACACATGCTCTCTCTGGAGACCTACGGTGACGAACGCCGCGGAGTCCTTATCTCCCACAAGACGGATGGCCAACTCCTCAATCAACGATGGATGCACTCCAGTCGTGTGCGTCCACAACTGCCATCCATAAACCTCTCTTCGCCTACGATTACGCTCTCAACGCCACCTCCGAAAAGGACATACGAAGGAGCATGGATCAATTTGCCGCCGCCGCCGCCGAGACAACTTTGGCATAATCACCAACGCGAGGAATACGGTGGTTATGCATCAGCCGCCACCCAATGCTGCCTGCAATGCATCTCAAAATATCGTGAACGGCATCCAACTGCAAGCCGTGAACATTTTTACCTCCCTGGGACGAATCCTTTCTCTCAGCACAAAAATCGACAATGAAGTAGCCCACCGGATTTCCAAGGCCAGCCACGCCTTCGGCCGCCTACAGAGCACAATTTGGAATCGCAACGGTCTCCATCTCAACACCAAACCCAAGATGTGTAAAGGGATCTTTTTGTTGTCGCAGCTGTATGGACTGGGACGCTGCACCAGAGGCATGTGTAGAGGCCCAACCACTTCCATCTCAGCCTCCTTCGATGGGTATTTAAGCTGAGGTGGCAGGACCGGCTTCCAGTCACGGACGTACTGAAACGAGCAGGAATTCCCAACATCCTTGCCATGCTGAGATAACTGCAACTGCGTTGAAGCGGCCGCCTAGTGCGGATGAACAACGAGTGGCTACCCAAACGACTCCTCTATAGAGATCTCACCACGGGTTCCTATTGACAAGGAGGGCAAGTCCGGCGCTGTAAGGGCCCTGAGATGAATTCCTTGAAGCACCTGCACATGAACCAAGCTAACTGGGATAGCTTCGCTCGAGACCGACAGACAGACCTGGGTAGGACAGCGAAAACAGGTGCAGCGATCTACCAAGCCAACCGCGTCGCCGCCCCCATCATGAAACGCCAGCACTCAGTTATCCCAATCTGTCCACTATGTCAGCGGACGTTTCAGGCACCAGTCAGTCTAGCCGGAGAGCTTCAAACCAACTTCGGCATCCGAAAAACACCAGCTGATTCCTCCCCCTCCACAGCCTCACTTCGGAAGGAACCCTAGCTGCGCTCATGAGCTTTTATTGTCATCCTCCTCCCCCAACGACTGCTACGAAGGCTCTTGCACACAACCAGGACGCACCGACAGGCATTAATCTCACGATCGCCAACATTGGGGGTTTGAACTCAGTCCATCCGTGTCTTCATGACGGTCTTACATTCATCTCACGCATCGGCGTAGTCGGTCGCTTGCGAGTCCATCGCACAGAGAGAGGCGGACCAGTGTCTGTGGCACCAACCTGCTCTCGCCACGTCCGTCTACACTTTCCAAACTGCCCCTCTCGCCACCGGTTACGCCGCATCATCACACACTCTCCCGCCTGCAGTCGCCCCACCCAACAACATCACCCGTCACCACTCAACACAACGACTCAATTGCCACTTCCCAGGCAAGTGGAAAGTATGCTTCTCGGCTCCTTCTCCACGTTCTTCCTCTGTGTGATTGAAGTCCCAGACTATGAAGGTGCGCCGAGCGCCCTGAATAGAAGGGCTGCCGACTGACGGTTCAGCTCAGTCCACACAGTCTGCCTACTTGTGAGTTTGCGTGGATTGGCGGACTGGTGGATTGAGAGTCACGCTGTCATGGCTCCTTCTTAAGTAATCTTTTCAAGTCGGAAACGCATTATGCAATTTCGCTTAGCTATCCGTAGGTTAACGCATCTCCTGTGTTTTCAGGCACGGCGGAGACTAATATAGATCGAATGGATGAGGTCGGCATTATTGCGTCTTACTACATAATCTGGGTAGAGAGGTTTTCGTTAGGTTCAGTAGTACTACTTTCGGATAGTAACGCGGCTTTTAGTGTAAATGAGAGTAGACGGTCTTGCAAAACGGATGGGCTCGTTATGATGGCTTTCGCTTTCCTTTGTCGTTGATAGAATGTCGGCAGATATTTTCGCACTTAACCTTGTCTTCCTCCGTTTTATGGCAGCACATCAAACGCTGTCTGCATTAATTAAACCTAAGTGGACACCTTCCTATTTATCCTTCGGATCCATTTTCTGTGCATTTCATTGGACAAAAGTGTAAGTTGTCGATTTTGCCAGAAACATTGATAATACTTTTAAAATTCAGGCTGCAAACACACACTTTATTACCATCACCAAAAATAACTGTCTAGGCTTCTCCAGAAGTCTATTTGCCTGTGGCTCTCGTTTTAAAAATCTGCAGTTGAATTCACAGTTTACCAGTCAATGCAAACAACCGGACAACCTCGCAGATGACAAGTATTTTGATTGCTGTAAAGAGACAAAAAGCGTTACAGTGTCTGAATTATAAAAACACACTAAACACTTTAGTTCTAATGAAGATACGCTTACGAAATTAAAAGCCCGCTTGATATTCAAGTAATTGTGACATTTTATAGTGCTGGTGCTAGGATCAAATCAAAAGTTATTTTGACTTACGGCTTGGAGAACTTGAGGCGGAAGAGCCGGACGATCCTGGAGGCATTGAAGCAAATTACGGTTATTTACCCTTACACTTCCATCAGTCGCTAAATATACGTATGGCTGTGCATACAGAATTCCGAATATCAGGAAAATACACAAATAATCGATATAAACCGACAAGAGAAAAGAAGAAGTTCTCGCCTGCTTATGTTTCATCAAGGTGACCTTCCTAAATATATGTTGTGAAACAGACCTGAAGGTGCACAATAGTCGGATACGCAAAGCACGTATAACAAGTGGAACCAGCAGCCCTACAAATACTTGGATACAGTTTTAGACTTCAGTTTATTTCGGTGTAGTAGTCTGTCGCAGGACAAGTGAAAGAAATTCTCAACTGAATTTTTACCAAAATGCTGCCCACTTTCGGCCGGCTAGTGCAGTTCATTGTTTCTACTCACCGGTAGTTGTGGGTGGCGCGGTAGTGGTCCCGTTTACCATAGCACCTGAAAAAAATTTAAATTTGGCCTCTCATCTGAAGTTATAAATGTCCACATATGTATCTCGGACAGTGGGTATGTTCTCCTAGCAAAGTAGAAACCTGGCTGACGTCTTATTGAGTTTAGGGCCAAACAACTAAATGGTCGCCGGACAACTAAAATAATTCACGTCTTTTTCGTCTTCTCAGTTTTACCGGACGGTTAAAAACGCAAAGATATTATTAGAGGATCCCCAACATTAGACAAATATGTCAGGTCATGGTGTGAGGGGGTAAGGGAAAATGGTGATTCTCTATGCCAGTAACATGACTTCCCTAGATATATTTGGTAATATTAGATTAAAGGGAGTCAAATCCGCAGGCCATGTATTCTTAAAAAATATCAGTAACATGCTAAATATTCGGAATCAAGTTGAGCTTAAGTTCGGGTTGAGGTGGTACTTAGCTTTTGGACGACTAAAATTTATTTAGTATTGCACGTGTCGAAAGACTTTCCATTTTTGTCCAGTCAATTAAGTCAATTATTTCAAATCACCGACAGCTTTGCGTAACGCCATAGTAGATATTTTTGCCTTAGTAACTGAAACAAATAAAAATTGAGCTTTTTTGGAGGTTATTGATGTTCAAGTAAGCTTGAAGGGACCCCTCGATTCAAGTTCGTTGGTTATTTCTTTTTATTGATGGTTGCTGGTAATCTGGGAGCTGTTGTGAGGGGTCTAACAACTGTCGAAGTGCAGGTTTGCATTGCATTTTGGACAATAAACAAGAACTCTGATGCAGTCTGGGCTTTTAAACAGCCTAGCTGTCTCACCTTTGTTGGAAATAAACGTGCATCTGGTGACTTAATGTTCACTTCGACGAAAACACGGTAAATGTTTCCAAGCGTGTATATTTTTCAAGGGTTCTCATCTGAAGGGCTCGTATTTCGTTTATTATTTCTACTCACCAACCGTTGCAGGCAACACTTAAGTGATTGTTTGCGCATTTTGGGATCGAAATAGATCCAGAGATTGCTAAGACTAATCAGTAGCTTTCAATGCGCTACTGCGTCTGCAAAGTTTTAGCTCAAAATTAGTTTATCGTAAATTATCTGTGCATGTATAAAAAATCAACATTCTGGCCTTTTGTTAGGAAAACTAAAATTAATTCAATTATTTATACATACCAGCGGTGTTGGGCGATCTTGAAGCAGTTGTTGGTGTTTTGGTAGCTGAAAAAATCATACTTTGTTTTTTTATCAAATACTCCTAAAGAGCTCTGGAATTCTAATATGCACGCTTCCTCAAAGTGAGGAGGTTAATGTTCTCACCAAAGTAGAGATTCAGATGAATAACCAGCAAGACACTAATGTGCTAATATTTGATATTGTTAGAATTTTGAAGAAATTATCAGCTGGCTGATTGCTTAATCCAAGTGGGGTCGACATATCCTTAGCTATATACACTAAAATGCGATTTCGGGTGTTCAGCAAATTGTTGGTGATGATCGGTCGGCTGAAAAAGATTCAGGCACAAAAATTATCTCGAAAGGAAAAAAGCATGATTGGGAACGTTGGATTCTTAAACACTCTAACTGTCACTTCCTTGCAGACACTACAAATACAACGGGTGCGTCAATATTCATTTACACGAAAACGGGATACAAATTTATGAATCAGTATATTTCCAAAATATTTGCATTTGAAGACTCCTACACCGATGTTTATATCTCACACAAACCTGTCTAGCACGAAGTTAACTCAAGAATATAAACGTTTTTTGAAATTTTTTGTCTCACCTGTTCTAACATGTGTGATTGTAGTCTGGGGTGGTTCTTTAGCACCTGGACAAATTAAATTCAAAATATTAAAATTTGATGTTTTAGTGTTTTCCTGTATAACCTATCGAGCATATGAATATTGTTGTGCGTGGAAACACATGAAAAATTGTAGCAAAATAATGACTAAGTTAGAGTCATATTGTCATTTATCTGGTCGTCTTTAAGAGTCGTCCAGTGGAACCAGTAGCCCTAAAAATAATTGGATTTAATTTGGACTTCATTTTGGTTCGGTGTAGCAGTCTGTCGCAAGCAAGCGAAAGAAATTCGCGGTTGAATTTTTACCAAAAAGCTGTTCAATTATGGCCATATAATGCAGTTCACTTTTTCTACTCACAATATTTATGTGTCGTCTTCTTCATTTGAATCGTTGTCCTTACATATTACATTTTGTAATACTTCGTCATTACTACTGGTGCCACTATTTAAGCTGCGTGATTTTAAATTGATTATCGAGATGTTGTTTGAGTGTTTTTTTTTTCAGGAATGAATTTGCCTAATTAGAATAGCGGCCTTCACATTGAAGGTAAATTGGTCCAATTTTCTTCATTTTGCTATATACATACTATAAATATTTCGCATTTC